TTTCAAACATTGCACCATGTTGTAGGAAATTCTGTAGATGGACTTGTACGGCGGACTTAGAAAGTCATGGGAGAAGATCGGGTCCGTACTTTAGGGGTTGCATTTTCCGAAGCCAAGCGGAAGATCGCCATTTATGTACCAGAAACGTGCACCAGGGACATGTCCAGACATTCATGCTTCATATACATGTGGGTTCCCGATCTTATCTAGTCCGTGTCTGCTTGTATTTTTTTACAAAAAAACAGAAGCTTGGCACGTTGTGTTTGTTTCTTGGGGCTTCAGTTTAAAACACAGAAATATGGAACACCCGCTCGCGCTAGTGTGTAACTTTACATTCAAGCAAAGGTCCCTGATTCAAGTGTAGTACTACGTGTGTGGATATATCCCCCTCCAATTCTTCAAAATCATACTAAATACTAGAAAGGCCGACATTTGCTTGAGAGCAAATGCAGCAGATGGCTTCACCACATCCCCCATACCGAAAATGGATCTATCCTACGATGGCTGCCAATAGTCTACATCCCCATGCAGCAATGGAACCTTCCAATGCCGGAAATAGCCAAAAAGCCCTATTTTACATAACTTTAAAGTGGTGTATGTCAAAATCGAGAATGACATTCTTTGGACATGTGTCCAAGGTATCCCCATACCAAATTTCAGGTCATTCGGATTTAATATTAGGGCACAGGAGCCAAAAATGTACATTTTTGGTCCGAAAATAGCAAAAAAGCCCTATTTTACACAATTTTAAAGTGGTATATGTCAAAATCGTGAATGGCATTCTTTGGACATGTGTCCAAGGTATCCCCATACCGAATTTCAGGTCATTCAGATTTAATATTAGGGCACAGGAGCCAAAAATGTACATTTTTGGTCCGAAAATAGCCAAAAAGCCTTATTTTTCACAATTATGAAGTGGTGTATGTCAAAAGCTTGAATGACTTTTTGTAGACATATGTCCAAGGTATCCCCATACCAAATTTCAGGTCATTTGGTTTTAGTACCTGGGAACCAGATCTCAAAATGTATATTTTTTGCCTGAAAATGGCCAAAAAACCCAAATAAAACAATTTTTCAAAAAAATGAAAAAAATGCGTCAGGGTATTTGCCCACTCTACCTTCATGCCAAATTTCGTGTTAAAGAAATGGCAGGAGGAGAAGGAGAAGGAGAAGAAACATGAGGGAACACAATATGTCTTCACCACTTTGTGGTGAAGCCATAATTATTTCAATCCTCAAAATCACTCCAAACTTGCTCCAAACAATGTGCCTGTCGCCCGGTCGCGGCATCGTAAATTTTCTAACAATAGCGGGGGCCGCTTGTGGGCGCTTTGTATTTATGTAAATCAAGGGGTAATCGGCATATAGGTGTCAATTGTTTTTTCACACATGAGTCGAACGTTGCTGAATAGTGACTAAATGCGACCCCAGTCCTTTGTGTGTATGATGTCCTTGACTTTACGATCTCTTGTGACTATGACCCCTCATGTGAGAGCCCTCCTGCTTTGATTCATTAATTAAAATAAAGTGGAGTGGATGTAGCCATTGGGATGTCGCCTGGTAAACTTGGGTTAGAATGTGTGCTTTATGTGCTTTATTAAACTCCAGTAGCGACACACAAGACATTGGTACAAAATCAAGTATGTTAGAACTTAGCCGTGGACGACTCTGGTAACTCCTTTTGCATGATAATGCCCCGGCATTATCATGCAAAAAGGGTTACCAGAGTCGTCCACGGCTAGTTAGAACTCAGCGTATTAAATTAATTTACTGAATGGAATGTTATCATCAGTAAAATCGAATATGGATGATGCAAAGTTGGGTATACCATTGCCGCGGCAACTGTTGCAGGGCTTCTCTTTCTTGCAGTCTTCTGAGGGCTAGTTTTACTTTGTTATGTAAAAAGACTGCAAGAAAGAGAAGCCCTGCAACAGTCGCCGCGGCTAGGTATTTAAATACATGTATATTACCACAGTCACAGCATTCCCACACGAGTACAGTGATCGGTGGGTTTCTAGTGCAATGTATACTTGAGAACATGGCCCAATCATGCAGTCTTTGTAGTACCATCTATCGCAACCAGACTAGTAATTCCTGAGTCGCCACAGCTGTTAATGTCCACTACCAACCTGGTAGGCCGGTGCACTAGCTTGCCCACTGAACGTGGTTGTCTTGCGGATTTTTAAAGATATTGAACAACGCACGTACCTGTCTTAAAAACACCGATGCAAGATTCAACCTTCTTGAGGCTGTTTTCACAGGTTTTTAAACGTTAATTTTATCGTTTTTTTACGTCCATGCTATATCCGGATCCACACCGCACCGGGAGCCACGCTCCTCAATATTGGCGCGCTGTTCTTGTGACTTCCGGTGTGGGTTGGAGATGACCCCGGATATGTTTTATGTTTCACACTTTTCACAGTCAGGTCAGCCAGGAGCATGCCATGTAAAACAGCAGCGGGGGGTTGTGTTACCTAAAATTGTGGTCTTGTAGCTAAGTTAGAGAATGATAAAATATAATGATTATAGATTTCTTTAATCATCTTTCATTTCGATAGCTGCACAGACATGTTAAACTGTAACGTTTACGTTTTTAAACTCCCCCCTTCATTCTATATGGTCCAGTCGACGCTTGGTCCAAATGCATGCTGGGTACAATGTAAGCTTGTGTGCACGAAGCTGTTTCTGATTTATATGGTGGATATCTCGATTTGTTCACCAGGTCTGTGCTTTTAGAAACAACTCTTTCAATATGGCAAGTGTTGAACGGCTGTACAAAAACTTTGGGGTCCTTGCTGACGCCAAGGATCAGGCAACACAGGTGAGTTACTGTACGGTAAAAAAAACTACCGGTATGAACGCTTTATAATTTTGTGCGAGCAAGCCTACATCACATCACAGTACTGCAGTGTTGGTTGTCCAAATTTTGATGATTTATAAGAGAATGTGTCAGAATTTGAGGAATTTTGTGGTGTTGATGATCTTGTGTTGTTGCTGTTGTCCTTTCTTAATGTCTATTTTTTTATCTCACTC